TGTGTGTGTGTGTGTGTGTGTGTGTGTGTTCACAGTGTGTGTGTGTGTGTGTGTGTGTGTGTGTGTGCGTGCGTGCATTCACTATTCACTGCTGTGTGTGCACTTGGATGGGTGAAATGCAGAGCACAAATTCCGAGTATGGGTCACCACACTTGGCCACACACATCCTTTCCTTTTTAAACTCTTCTTTTGGTATCTTAATTTTTAAGTGGTATGGAAGAGAGTGCTGTTCTTCACTCCCCTACCTACATTTGCTGCTGGTACTGAGAATTGAACCTATGGCCTTCAGGTTATAAGTTAGACTCTATAATCATTAGGCCACAACCGTTCCTTTAGAGAGAAGCAGCTGAAGAGCAAATAATGTTGAAACTAGAAATTTAGCTGGTTCACCTATATCAAAACAACTGCATCGGACATACCTGTCTAATAGGCAAAAATACACAGAATGGTCAAATTGAGGGACATTAACAATCGCACCGGTCTATTCATAAGATTTTATGTTTGAACCAGTTTTAGGGAAATTTGGAAGAAGGGATTTTGTTCATTTTAAGTGCTTCTGAAGCTACCAAGAGTTTAAAATATGAGTATCGTATCTACATGTTTGAAACAAGTTTGATGCATCCTAGGGAGGAAGATTTGCCTCACCTGGATTGTATTAGAATTTCTTGTTATAAAATGTGAAGCATAGTGATAGATCAAGTATCCATTGCTAAGGTGCGTATTTACCAGATTCACTGATAGTACCTCAAACTTTTAAAGATTTAAGGGCTTTCACACTTGAAATGGTAAACCCTGGGTCACTTTAAACCACACGTGTCAAACGCTGCTCCTCTGCAGAGATTACCTCCAATCTGGATTAAACACACCTACCTGCAATTTTGTAGTGATCATGAAGCCCTTGATCAGCTTGTGCTGGTGTGTTTGATTAGGGTTGGAGCTAAACTCTGCAGGAAAGTGGATCTCGAGGTCCAGAGTTTAGGAGCCCTGGTATAAATTATACCAGAAGCTTCCCAACTGTGTTCCTGGGAACCTCTGGTTGAGTTCACATGGAATGACCCCGCAATTATAATTTTCTGTTTGTAAGTTTATTTGTAAAACACATTTCACAGTACATATTGTTCCAAAGCCTCTTGACAAGTAAAAGTACCTTACAACCTCTAGTAAATTAATTAAAAAGCCTTTATTTGAATCATTCTCTTTCTTTAATTTATTTCCATAATTGCTTGAAAAATAGAGAGAAATCTTTAACAATAATAATTGATCCAGGATATCAAGAGTTTTCATTATTGATTAGACATTCAGTTAAAAAATAAAAAAGAGCAGTGACTTGTTATTGCCTGAAGCAAAATGTGAAGAAACAGCAAGGTTATTCTTCAGGTTTATTAAATATATAATGTAATCCCTTCAGTTGATTCCTGTCATTTCCTGTGATTCACATTCATTCTCATGATGTGAACATTTGACAAAAATATCACAAAATCAGTAGAAATGGTATTTGAAGGAAATATACTGGGAACAGTACTATACACAATACTGTTCCTCTTTGTTCAGTAACTGCTTGTGTTTGACAGGTTTCTCTGCTTCACACATAATGGTGCTGATTCTCTGTATTTCTGCGTCTGGATCTGCACTCCTGCTCTGCTGCCTGATCTACTGCAGATCTCCTACTAAAGGTATGTGTATAACAGGAAAATATTCTTATCAGCCGTAATTCAGTGTGTTTCAACTGCAAGATTATGACCCAATGACAATTATTATGATAATAATAATAATAATAATAAAATAAAAAATAAAATGTAAATGTTGATAAGTCTATGTATCCAATCAAAATCTACATTATTCTGGCATAAATACATCTTTCACCACTATTATGGATTATTAAACAGTTTAATGTTTTAGGCTGGTAAATGACTTGACCTGCTTGGCACAAAAACTGATTATTATTATTATTATTATTATTATTATGATTATTATTATTATTATCATGGATTTAGGAATTTATAAATGTATCTTTAGTCTTGTAGTTTGTGAAGTCTGTGGTGCTGAGGGAGCAATATATTGTAGAGGACAAAGAGGGAAAATGTTGAGATGTCTACAGTAAATTAGGATTGGGACATACAAGATAAAAGTGTAAGTTTGTCAGTTGTGTTTAAGCTTGGAAATGGTGATTGTGGTGTTACAGAAACTATAGAACATGCTGTGGATGTGAGTATAAGGTCCATCATAGCAGCAGTAGTTTGTTTTTATAGAGAGAAGCTCAGTAGGTCAGTGTTGTGATTCTTGATTTATGCATCATGTAGGACTAATTTGAAGGTGTGAACAACCATTAAAGCAGAAGTTATTGTGATATTTGAGATCATTTAGTTAATTAGTCTAAATACATCTGTGTTTTACATGTCCTGTTCTCCTTGTTGACCCTTTTAACTTGTCTTAAGACTCATTATTCAATGTTGTATTAGAAATTTGTCAGCAATAAAGCACTCAAGCAATTATTGAATCAACTTTAGTCAGGGTGAGAAAGAGAGAGGTGTGTGTGTGTTAATTTATATGTGTGCAAATGTGTATATATGTAAATAATGTCACTAATGCAGGGATATTAAACATGTTAATTGCCCTTTCCAGTACAAAGTTAGTCTGTATACTTAGAAAATTATAAAATATATGAAACCATTGTTACTTGTCTAACTAAAAAGGCGTCATGCAAACATTTTTATTTTTATATTTCAGGTTTATTTGGCCAGCAAACATATGGCCAATATTTTTATCTGGGATCTTCAGTGGTTTTGCCCTGTCATGTTGACGAATGCTTATTAAAGAAAAAACTGAAGGTGGAATGGAGAAGAAAAGACACTAAGACTCTGGTTCATCTGTATGAAGATGGTGAGAGTCGATCAGAGAAACAGCACCAGGATTATCAGGATAGAGCTCGTTTCTTTACTGACGATATTGAACATGGAAACTTCTCCCTCTGTCTGGACAATCTGAGAGCTGAAGATGCTGGAGAATACATATGTAAAGTTCACAGTGACCTTTTTACAGTCACCAGGACAGCAGAGACAAGTTTGGAACCACGTAAGTTAATAAATAAAAGATAAAAACAAACAGAACCTACTGAACTGCTACATAACAAATAACAATACTAGGGATTCACCAATCTTGATTGTTAATGGTTGATTCCTACTGCAGATTTTTTTGCAGGTTCCAATAACAATTTTTAATTTAATTTAATTTTTTAAGCAAGAGACAAGAAAGAATCAAAATATAAGTACATCACGATGTTTATTTGCTATATTTCAGGCAGATCTGTAGCCATTGAAAATTAGTGGCAACCACTGCTTTTTAAACACAATCCAAACAAAGATGCTAAATACATGTAACATAAGCAGTTTTTTAAATTTAAATTAAATAAACAAAACCACAATAATCTGAATTTAGCTTTATGAGACTATGCTTTATAAAACATCTGCACAACACAGCAGACGGTCTGAATGAGATGCAGATTCACTCTCTGACAGCAGGTGGCGCTCATGAAACAGCAGCAATACAGCCTTTTCTTGGTTACCGCTGTAAACAAAGCAGCACTGCGCTTATAAACACCACTATGCATTATACAGAGGCAAGATGAACAGAAAATACCATCTAAACTGCTCTGAAGACATCATCCCCCTCCATATATCTTGCAGTTTGTTTTTCCTGACCAAATGTTCTTACAATTACTAAAGCGAATTGGTCGTGTTAACAGTAATTTGACAGCTTCTGCCATTGGGTGATTTGTTGCATTTTCTGCTTATCCAAATCTTGTCCAGATCTTTGTCTTTTCTCTCCTTTTGTGATGTAGGCTATATCTGTGACACGAATGAGAAAAAAAGGTAGAGCAGGACTTGATTTTGTCCATCTGGAATTGATTGGTTCGTTGGATTGTTGTCATTTTGCTATTGCTGTGATCTCATGTGAGTGACAGGTTGCGTCTATGTTAAGTTTCAGTGTTAATATATTACTTGTCAGGTTGTCACCATATAGAAGGATAGACTGTAAAACAGGAACCAGGCAAATATTTTGTGTACAAGAGGCCCAACAGAGAGGTCAAGCGATGGACATCAGAAGGCAGATATTTGTTGTGTCAAATAAAATCTGGTTTGTCATTGTTGGCCATGTGATAAACAGATTGCACAAAGGCAGAGGCTGACAGATTACTGTAGCCCACCCTCATCTGAGAGCTTAGTAACTGTAAGAACATTTGGTCAGGAAAAACTGTGTATGCATTATACAGAAATGACATCACTGTCTAATCATTGATACACAATTCCTACAGTATTATTGAGAGGATGCTGGCAATCAATGACAGTTTCTACTGCCAGATTTGACAGAAAACCTCAGGGGCTTGTACCATGATGGTGGCTATACAAACTCAAGGTTATAGGATTCATTTTAGGTTGAACAAAACCAATCCAATCCAGTTTTGTTGGCACTATGATGCTGATCATCAACTTTCTGTGTCAACCCAGACTTTGATCCTGAGTTTATGGAGCCATGTCAGTGCAAGTAAAAGTTGTGAAGTGAGTTTATATAGTTGATGATAATATACAAAAGTATACAGAGACTCAACATTTTAAACTCAAGTCATGTTTAAAGCTTTATCTATTGATTCAGAATGTAGCCTGCCCTGGAGCAGCTTAGCCATGGAGCATAAGTTACTATGGACTTTAAGCAGCAACTGCTGATAGAATGGCAACGGCTTCAGGAAGTGAAGTGTTAACCGGCGTAGCGAAAGAACGCAAAATCACTAAGCAGCAAATAAAGAGGACGCCATAATGCAGGGGTCACCAGACTCGGTCCTGGAGGGCCGGTGTCCTGCAGAGTTCAGCTCCAACTCTAATTAAACACACCTGAACCAGCTAATCAAGCTCTTTCTGGTCAAACTAGAAACTTCTAGGCAGGTGTGTTGAGGCAAGTTCGAGCTGAACTCTGCAGGACACTGGCCCCCCAAAAATTACATATTTATAAAAGCAAGACAAGGGTTGATTTTGGCATTAAATAATATTCAGATACAATTACAATGCTAAATACCATTAAACATAACATTTACTTACTATGGCACATCAGCTATTCTCCCGCAGAATACACTTACATTACAATGTGACGAAACAGCAGTTAAAGTTGCGCATGCGCAGCAGAATGCCACAGTGCTGTTATATAGCAGCTGTTGCTTAAAGTCCGTAATTATGGCCATGAACACTATTAAATGCTAAGCCACTTTCATGGTACCCAAACCCCAGAGTTGGTGCAAACTAAACTGAAACTTACCTGGTTAGCCAGCTAAACCAGCTTCATGGTACAGGCCCCAGGACTGGGTTCATATTTTAATTGATGGACTGGATATTACAGACATTATAAATTGTAGGACAATTTGCTTAGGGAATGTTGTACTGTAAAATGTTTCTTTCAGAAACTAATATCTTTCATTGTTTGCTAAATTGGAAGAAGATCATTCTGTTGTGTTTTGGTGTTCCTAATGAAAACATGAAGGTAAGGTTTTAATGATCAACTACGTGTTACTGGTGTGATCTTTTTGGAGTTTTGTACTAAGTTCTTAAATGTAGCCAAAAACAGTGTGAAAATGTTGCCAAAAAGTTTTAAAAAGGAGCTTAGAGTCACCTCTAATATGAGCTTGTGCTGCTGTAGAGATGAAGTGTGAATGTATGTGAGAGCTACTATCTGAGAGGAAATCAAAAATACAGTTTGCTCAGAGAGAGAGAATAATTGTCATCACCAGCAATGTAAAGTCTTTTTCAGACATTACACTCGACAAAATATATATATATATATCAATTTATTTATCTGTTTGTTTGTAGTTATTTCACATGAGAAACTTTGTGTCTGTTTCTTTACAGAGTTCGAAGTGAAAGGTTCCTTTGATGATCAGATCGTTCCTCTTGGAGGTTCAGTGGTTTTGCCCTGTCAGGTTGACGGAAGCTTGTTAGAGAAACGTCTGAAGGTGGAGTGGAGAAGAACAGACTCAGAGACTCTGGTTCATCTGTATGAAGATGGTGAGAGTCGACCAAAGAAACAGCACAAAAATTATCATCACAGAGCTCATTTCATTACTGATGAAATTAAAGATGGTAACTTCTCCATCCGACTGGAAAAAGTGAGAGCAGAAGACGCTGGAAAATACACATGTAAAGTTTACAGTGACCAGGATTGTGTGCATTCAGCCGACGCAGAGGTTGAGATACTGGGTAAGTGAAAATAACTGGATCTGCTACTTTACACCTGGTCAATATATGATTTTAATTGAGTGGTTAAGTTACAATATAAATATTGCATTTCCAGATTTTAAAAATAATATTATGATAATTTTAGTTACTTCACTCATAAATATAATAGTCTGATGTTATGCACCACTGGACTGGTCATATATTAATTATTCAGTTTGAAAGTATACCAACTACAGTACTGATAAACACTTTTCTGGACCGTAGATGCTTAATCAGCTCTTCTGTGGAGTTCAGCTCCAACTCTAATTAAACACACCTGAACCAGCTAATCAAGCTCTTTCTGGTCAAACTAGAAACTTCTAGGCAGGTGTGTTGAGGCAAGTTCGAGCTGAACTCTGCAGGACACTGGCCCCCCAAAAATTACATATTTATAAAAGCAAGACAAGGGTTGATTTTGGCATTAAATAATATTCAGATACAATTACAATGCTAAATACCATTAAACATAACATTTACTTACTATGGCACATCAGCTATTCTCCCGCAGAATACACTTACATTACAATGTGACGAAACAGCAGTTAAAGTTGCGCATGCGCAGCAGAATGCCACAGTGCTGTTATATAGCAGCTGTTGCTTAAAGTCCGTAATTATGGCCATGAACACTATTAAATGCTAAGCCACTTTCATGGTACCCAAACCCCAGAGTTGGTGCAAACTAAACTGAAACTTACCTGGTTAGCCAGCTAAACCAGCTTCATGGTACAGGCCCCAGGACTGGGTTCATATTTTAATTGATGGACTGGATATTACAGACATTATAAATTGTAGGACAATTTGCTTAGGGAATGTTGTACTGTAAAATGTTTCTTTCAGAAACTAATATCTTTCATTGTTTGCTAAATTGGAAGAAGATCATTCTGTTGTGTTTTGGTGTTCCTAATGAAAACATGAAGGTAAGGTTTTAATGATCAACTACGTGTTACTGGTGTGATCTTTTTGGAGTTTTGTACTAAGTTCTTAAATGTAGCCAAAAACAGTGTGAAAATGTTGCCAAAAAGTTTTAAAAAGGAGCTTAGAGTCACCTCTAATATGAGCTTGTGCTGCTGTAGAGATGAAGTGTGAATGTATGTGAGAGCTACTATCTGAGAGGAAATCAAAAATACAGTTTGCTCAGAGAGAGAGAATAATTGTCATCACCAGCAATGTAAAGTCTTTTTCAGACATTACACTCGACAAAATATATATATATATATCAATTTATTTATCTGTTTGTTTGTAGTTATTTCACATGAGAAACTTTGTGTCTGTTTCTTTACAGAGTTCGAAGTGAAAGGTTCCTTTGATGATCAGATCGTTCCTCTTGGAGGTTCAGTGGTTTTGCCCTGTCAGGTTGACGGAAGCTTGTTAGAGAAACGTCTGAAGGTGGAGTGGAGAAGAACAGACTCAGAGACTCTGGTTCATCTGTATGAAGATGGTGAGAGTCAACCAAAGAAACAGCACAAAAATTATCATCACAGAGCTCATTTCATTACTGATGAAATTAAAGATGGTAACTTCTCCATCCGACTGGAAAAAGTGAGAGCAGAAGACGCTGGAAAATACACATGTAAAGTTTACAGTGACCAGGATTGTGTGCATTCAGCCGACGCAGAGGTCGAGATACTGGGTAAGTGAAAATAACTGGATCTGCTACTTTACACCTGGTCAATATATGATTTTAATTTAGTGGTTAAGTTACAATATAAATATTGCATTTCCAGATTTTAAAAATACTATTATGATAATTTTAGTTACTTCACTCATAAATATAATAGTCTGATGTTATGCACCACTGGACTGGTCATATATTAATTATTCAGTTTGAAAGTATACCAACTACAGTACTGATAAATACTTTTCTGGACCGTAGATGCTTAATCAGCTCTTCTGTGGGTTTGTGGTGCTGCAGATGTGAGTGTGTTTGTTGAAGATCTGAGAGACATTTCATACAAACTTAAACGTAGATTTAAAAATAATTTTATTAACAGATATTGCCAAAAAAAGTGTAAAACTACAATAATAGATCACTGTGGAGTAAAAAAAAACAAAAAAAAAGAACTTGGCACAATAGTCTCCACAAAAGATTGTACAGAAAACAGGACTGTACAGAAAATAAATACGGACTGTTTCATAGACAGGGCGAATTCCAAACGGCTTTTTTGCGCTCTTGAAGGGCACTTCATGAAGGGGAGACGCCATCTGTAGGGACGTTCTAAACCAAAGTGAACAACTGAATCCCTTCAGAAGGGCTCTTCCAGAAGTCCGTTAGTGAAGGGAACATGCGATGGTCACTTCACAGAAGTGATTTCCGTTTGTGATCATGTGATCTTCGGTTAGGAGATCTTGCGATGCTTTTTAAAACAAAGTTGGGATTGATTTAGACTTCACATACAAACATAAGTAGAATAGGCTAAATAAATTTGTCTATTTCAATGTAAGAAAACATATATTTTGTCAGTGATAGAAATATGATTTAAGACGGTAGTGTAAGCAAATTTAGTTAGAAAATTGATTCCAGCTGTGTCTCGTTTATTTCCTCATTTGTTCCATTACTTAAGCCCTGTGTTTTCCTGAGTCCTGCGTCCTGTCTAAACGTCAATCCCCGTTCCTATGTCCCTTTCCCTTGCTCCTTTTGATTAATAAAGACTGTTATGCTAGTACTCTCCTGCGTTCCCTTTGTTCCTCGTTCCTCACAGTAGGCAACACAGTGACAGTAATATCCTGCACCCTTCAAAGAACACACTTCAAGGGCTCTGCCCTGCGAAGGGAGTAGAACAGGGATGCTCACTTCCGTTTGAAATTCGCTCACAGTATAGAATTCAGTTCTACTCAATATGTAGTTTAACTGCTATTAAGTCCCTCAAATAATGATTTGCATTACAATAAATAAATAAATAAATAACAAGAGAAGAAAACAAACAACAGGCTCTCACATCTTCTGTGCAATTAATAAATGTTTGATCAAATGAGGAGAGTTTATACACAAAACACAAATCCTTACTGTTCATTTGCCTGAACAGGTATTTCACATTAACCTTTTAATTAATTTATTATTATTATTTTCTTTAAGGGTTTGCTGTTGAGCGTTCCCATTACACACTTGCTCCTCTGGGATCTTCAGTGGTTTTGCCCTCTTATGTTGACGAATCCTTATTAAAGAAAAAACTGATGGTGGACTGGAGAAGAAACGACACTA